GGGACTGAGGCACAGGCAGCCACAGCTCTATCAGCTGCAGAGTCTTGGGAGTGGGGTTGTACTCAGCCCTTAGAATGGGACAGTTTTATGCACTCTTATCTTTCTGTGCCCTCACGTATGTTACCCAGAACACTTGGCTGGCTCACCATCTTATTTTTCTCTGCTCTTCTTTCCAGATGTTGTTTTTCAACCTGCCATTAATGGCCTATCTGTGCTGGTGCCTGTTGCTGCGATGCCAGGGTCACAGCTTCCGTTCTCACATCCGTCACGTCCGACGCCTCGTGGCTGTGCTTGTTCACCTGGCAATGGCTTTCCTCCTGGCCTGGCAGGTCTATTCCTGCTATTTCCTGCAGCGAACCTATGGGACCTTGGCTTTCTTCCTCTCCCCAATGAGAACCTGGCTGGTGGTGCTGACCTCAGCTCTGATTTATAAAACCTGGACACTGAAATCATCTGAGCTCAGAACTTACATCGTAGAAATTAAAAACTGCCAGAGCTCTTGATCTACAATACAAGTATTCAAAGTTCTTTGACTTAAAAACTGTCAAGGCACAACCTATAGTTTTGTGATGTTGGAATTCTATACAACCCAGCCATGATAGGTGGGCTGTATAGAGCTGTGGTAAGATCTGAAGCTGCACCTGCATTTCTACAGAGCTGTATTAAATAATATATGTATAACAATAGGTATTATATATTTTTATTTATGATACAGAAGACAGATATGTCCGTATGGATCACAGATGGAAATGTTTGCTTGTTATTACTGCAAATGGAAAAATATTTTTAATTTATTAAATTATTGATTTTTATAATGCTGGGGAAAACGTATATAGATCTTGATAATGAGCTGCAGGATTTGTGCTGAACTTCTCTTGTTATTTAAAGATTTACATATATTTTTACAAGACTAACTACAAGACTGGACCAGATGTCTTTATGAAGTAATGGTTATTGTAAAGGTACTGTGGTGGCCTTCACAGTAACAGTCCTTCTTTCAGTTTTTCAGTTCCTAATGCTATGTATGAGCAGTTTGTAGGTTGTTAGGTGTGTGTGTGTGTGTGTATTTGTGTTTATGTTTACCTGAGCTGTGGCCTATTGGTCTTGTCCTGGGAGTGCTGGCTAATTAAAGCTCTCTCTTTGAGAGGAAATAGTTATGTTTGCCACTGTGGAGGCTGCTGATTTTCCCACACTTGACCAGTGAAAGGAGAGTGAATGTTGCTGTAGTCAGAGTTTAGCTTTAAAGCAAAGAATGGCGACAGTGTCCCCAGGATAGGAGAGCCCAAAGGAATTGTGTGCTCTGTAATGTCTGTAAGGGAGGGGATCAGGGCTGTATGGACATTCTGTTAAGAATCTCTCAATGCAGTTCTTCGTGGGGTGAGCAAAGATGTTTTATTTAAAGATGTATTATCCCTGGCTCCAGGGCCCCAAATAAGAATCACTGCTCTGAAACGTGGTTGATGTGTGAATTATACACATATGTAGGAATGATGTAATAAATTTTGAGAGAAAGTGACTATCCTACTGCCCTAGTATCAGAGTGAAGAGCTTTGAACTTCATCCTGCATAGGAAGCACCTCTTCTTACCTTATGCTCTACAGACACATCTTTTGCTGCAGCTATTTGTTGCCTAACAGACAAGTAAAATTTACTTCGTCTCACATTAATTCATATTTTCTCCTTCTTAACCAGTTTTCTAATATTCTAAAAACTTAGCAGGAAAATACCAACTTTCCTGCTTGAGCTGTACACTTTAACCCAGGAAGCTCTTCTTTAAATTTAATTCGTTGTATCTCAGGCAGCTGAAGTTCTTCGAAGCACAGACTATGAGCTAGCCTCTCATTTATCTGCCCTTATCATACAGGCACGTGGATGCCCAAGTTAACTATGAGTAATAAAAATCACAATACAGTATGCTTTTCCTGAAAATTCAACCAAAATAAATTGGTTTCATAAAATGCAGCTGACCTTCCAGAACATATCACCAGTCACTTACATGAACCAGTGAATATGATAAATCTGCAAGCCACCCTATAAAAAACCCCTGCATTTGCTTGTCTCTTGGCCTGTGGTGCCCAAAAGGCACAAATCAGCATAGTGGCCTGAAGTGAGACATTCCAGTGACAACAGGACCTGTGTTCTGATGAATTTCCTGAGTTTGGTGTTCTTTAAAAATTAAGCTCTTCCGCTCACCAAAAGGCAGCATTTCTCTGAGAAGAAAACACCATATTGTGTTAGAATGTATCTCAGTGTTTACATCAGTCAGCATCAGTGTAAGATCTTAGTGTTACATGGCTCATGACATGTTTTTCCAGTTTGTGGATGAATTATGTATGAAAATATTTTATTTATTAACCTTTATTTGAACAGAAGTGAGTGGCTTGGGTGGTCATTACTTCTGGCAGATAGTTCTCTTTCTTTTAAAATAGTACTGCATGGCTGTTTCAGGATAAGCACGAGAATACAGAGGTCTTCTGAAGTCAGGTGGATCCTTTCCAAGCTGTTCATTAGGAGGACAAATCAGAACTACATGAATACTTAATTCCCACTTGAAACTACTCTAAAAGGACACTTGATTATTTGGAAAAAAAAATAATAAAATCTGACAATGTCTTTCAAATACATTTTGTTATATTTTAAAGTCACTTAGAAAAAGCACATGTAATTTTTCATGCTACTGTTTGCTTATGAAGAAATTCTTGTGCTCATTGGTGAATTACATCCAAGATGCTGTGAAATGCTTAAATTAAATAGGAGAAAGAGAAAAGATTCTTTCGTGTGCATTACCCTCAGTGCTCTGAGGGCTGAGTGAAACTTGCAGAGGGAAGTTCCCAGGGGAATGCCATTGCCACGCACAAATTTCCTGTAATGGTAAATCAGTGAAGGCCTGTCCAATGCAGTGATCCCAATAAAGAGATCGTGGCATTCACTGTGGTGGAAAAGGCAAGCATAGCGGGAGGAGAAAGGCTTTTTCCATGTGCTTTTCCCACTATCTCTATAGCGTACTGAAAAAATAAAAATACAAAAAAGAAAAAAACAAAACGGATCCAAAAGTTCAAAGAGAAAAGCTCTTCATTGAGCTGGCTGAGGCAGAGACAGCTGCCAGGGGGCACTGAAGGCTCCGGGGGCTGCCTGGCCCCAGGACACAGAACAGGCTTTTCCAGTTTGAAATGCTCACTGCCACCCAGGCAGCTTTCCAACCGATTGTTATTGCCTACCCAAAGGGAGGTGAAGCATTATCCTGGGGGAGTGGAACACAAAGGCAGCTCCATCCCAGCAGGAAAAGCACCAGTTGACAAGTGTCCTGCCCTCCCCCAGTTGCCCCCCCAGAACCGGGAGAAAGTCCAACCGTGCTGGCTCCTTTCCAGACTTCACCCCATCAGAGCCTAGTGCTTGGCCCTTTACTTTCTCTTCCCACATTCCCCAGCCTGGGAGGCAAAGGAAAGGAAGCAGGGGCCACTGGGGTGAAGAAGGCTCCATCCTACAGAGGAGCAGGGACTGTGGGAAGGTCTCAGAGATACAGAGAAGCCAGTCCAAGAAGAGGGTGGAGCAGAGGAGGGTTGAGCCATAACCCCTTCTCTGCCCTCACTCTCCTATAAAAATAAATTGCACCTCCCTGTTCCTGCATGAACACCGCTTGGCTACTTCACGCTTTCAGTTTTCTTTGAATGCTGCTGACCAGTTCAGCCACACTCCTGCCACCGCTCCACCCAGCGTAGAGTGCTGTAGCAAAAGTGAATTTTGCTATCTGTGGTATCGTGCTTGCAAAATTCTGTGTTCCTGTGGCTTAAAAGTCTTGACTCATTTCTGCTGTTTTTTGTGCTTTTCCTTAAGAGTTCCCAGTGGTCTCACAGAAAATATTTTATCAGTTTGGAACTTATTCCAGCTGCTGTTAATCTTTCTTATTGCAGGAAATGCTGTCTACTTGTGATCTTTTATCCCCTGGCAGTCTATTTATGGATTGTATGAACACCTCCCATTATGAAGAGAACCCAGTAAAGAGAAAGGCAGTGTAGCAACACAGGGGAGCAATGTTACAACCAACAGGACTAAGTAATCCTGCACCTGCTTCTTCCACAATCAAGGCATTAAAATATAAAGAGATGAAGCTATCTGAAAGGTATTTGCCTTTGCTCTCTCCACTTTTTTAACAATAGCTCCTGTAAACTGCAGTAGGATACATTTATGTCTCAGCTGGCAAGCTCTTTTCATGGTGGTGCTGACATTTTCCATGAAATCCTGACACTAAACTACACAGACTTCACTAAACCACTAAGAGGTGCTCCTATGAAAAGAGCATGTTTTTCTGATTAACAGGGAAGAAGCCAACAAAAAGGAGGACAAGAAACATGATGAACTAAAAAAACAAAAAAAATTAAGGAAAAGGGTGGGGGGAAATGGAGGCTAAGAAAGCAGAAGGGAAGAAAATGAAATATAGGACAGCCAACAGCAACTGTTCAAGGTGCAAAGGGAGAAGGGATGGAAATGGAAGTGCATAAAATTTTACCAAATACAAACAAGCAAAAGATTGGCTCAAAGGAAAAAAACAATCTCTCTGCCCCACACTGCTTAAGTTTTATTACACTTTGCAACAAGAAGTGCTTATTTATAAAGATCGTACAGCTGAACTCTAGTACCTTATTGTGGTCACACAGCTCCTGCTGTGAATTCATGCTTGGCCGTGCTTAAGATCTTACAAACTATCACTCACTATCTTTGTAAGGTAAAGCTTCATGGGACAAATGCTGGTGCTTCTGCAGCCAGTGACTATCTACTACATCCAAAGCATCTTGGATTTTTGTTACCATTTATTTGTCACCCTTTGTTAAATGAGACCTCTCCTATAGTGCAGGATACATAATTGCTGAAGAGTCATGCTATTACAATAATTAAGAAATTAAGATGAGGTGAAAAAAAAATATTAATTTTTTTACAACTGTGGACACTTGGTTTAAAGCATTTTCTCCCTTTGATTTTTATTTAATCTTAAAAGGTAATATAAACCGGGACTCACAAGTAAAGAAATACTTCTGTGACAATCCTAAATGCTGCTGCAATCAGGCTGCCTTTATTACAGTAAAGAATCAGTATCTCAGCATGATCTCACTTTTTTTTTTTTTTTTTTTCCTTTTCCCCTAAAGCCATTTGACTAATGCTGACAGAACCTATATTGCCAACTACAGGAATGCTGCTGCAATCAGGCTGCCTTTATTACAGTAAAGAATCAGTATCTCAGCATGATCTCACTCTGGATCACCCCTCACATCATCAGCTCTTAATAGGCTAATGACTTCGGTGGATTACTAAGCAACTACTGTAAAAATAATAGTGCTGAGAATTTGTGGTGGTTTGGGTGGATTCACCCTTTTTGCTTGCAGCTTGCACTCAA